TCTACCTATTTATGTGGACTTAGCCCTTATTCATTAAGAAATATGCAGGTTTCCAGGAAAAAGAGTAGTATCTACCATGTACCTTGTTTACCAATTGTGAATATGATCTCATAACTTCAATCCTGGTATTAAAAAAAAAAAAAAGACAGATACCAAATATACACAAAACTTAGGCTGGTGAAAAAGCCTACTCTACCTATTTATGCAGTTTAACATATATAACTTTCTTGAAAACAGAAAAACAAAAACAAAGATAATTTTTTTTAACCCTGAAATTCAGCTCCTAAAACAATATTAACATGAACAAGAAAACTAAAACATGCAAAGTAGTGATGGCTAGGCTATCAAAAATAGATTTCCAGCTGGGCACGGTGGCTCACTCCTATAATCCCAGCACTTTGGGAGGCCGAGGTGGGCAGATCACCTGAGGTCAGGAGTTCGATACCAGGCTGGCCAACATGGGGAAACCCCATCTCTACTAAAAATCCGAAAATTAGCTGGGTGCGGTGGTGTGCACCTATAATCCCAGCTACTCGGGAGGCTGAAACAGAAGAATAGCTTGAACCCAGGAGGTAGAGGCTGCAGGCAGCCGAGATCGCACCACTACACTACAGCCTGGGCAACAGGGTAAGACTGTCTCAAAAAAAAAAAAAAAAAAAATTGATATCTGATATCTGGTTTTACTTGTAATAAATATCAACCCTAGAAGTGATATGTAAGCAATGCCATCATTTTTGTTTCACAACAAAGATAGCGTTTTTGTGGCTGAGAGAGCCCTGGGGTGCCTCCCAGCTTGGTCTCTCCAGTCCCTACTAGCCAGTGGGAGTGCTCACACTTGCAAGGTCTCAGGACCTGCCTGACATTTAACACATGGAGGCCCTCTACTCACTGGGTCTCTGAGCTTCAGGGGATGTGTTGGCAGAGGCGGTACCCTGCCTAGCACACAGTGGGCAGGTGCTTTCACTCAGTGAGTGCTCATTAGCCTGAAGGTGGGTTCTGGGGGGCTTCTGAAGGTGCCCTTATGTTTCCTTTACTTTTTTTTAGAACAAAATAATGATACATGAATAACTTGGAAAATATTCTCAGTGAAAACTTGATTCTTTAATGTCGGCTCTGTTGGACACTTGCTCCTAGTAAGATGGGAATTAAACATAATTAATAACCCTTTGATCCTACTTGTTTTTGACTACTTTCCTATGACTACTACTACTACTACTACTACTACTACACCTAATTAACCTGGTGACACCTACAGCATAATAAATTCCCTAAGGCAGTTCCCTAAGAGAATCAGAAATATCTTCAATGACTGCTAATTTAATGGAATGCCCTTGAACTCTGGAGGCGTGCTGCCCCTGTTAGCTCACACCTACACTGCGGCCAAGAGGAAGCAGCAGAGCCTGACTGCAGAACTCCAACATCGCCCGCAAGCCCCTTCACGACTGCCTCCTGAATTCCCAAGACAAACACCAAGTACACAGCCAGGGCTGTTTCCCCGACAGGAGCTTGGGAAAATCTTCCTTTAATACTACGATATGCACCTCACAGAAGGAAAAGCCAAATGCATCACTGTCTCTAATTAAGTAAGAAGCATGATAGAGAAGGTTTCATTTCTGTAAGATAAATACTTCTGTAAGTAAATGTGGATTAATAATAAGGATAACATTTAGAACTTTCTAAGAGCTAAATGACTTGTAAAATATGCAACTGCTTATTTTTCTGTGACAAGTCTAAAACAAACATTGTCAATGAGAACATCAAGATGTTAAAACACAGTTGATTCCATGGGCCTCTTTCTGCAGGGTACCTTGTGAGAGAAATTCCTGCTCATGAGGGCCCTTGCTTTGTGGGTTTCACCATAACTGGTCCCATGCAGTGCCAGCATGTGGTTTTCACACACATTTTGCTTCCATATACATTTTAAAACATGGCTAACTTTTTGTGGAGACAGGGTCTGGCTATGTTGCCCTGGCTGCTCTCAAACTCCTGGGCTCAAGCATCCTCCTACCTCAGGATCCCAAAGTGCTGGAATTACAGGTGTGAGCTGCCACTCCCGGCTATGCATGGTGGTGTATGCCTGTGGTCCCAGCTACTCAGGAGGTAGAGGCAGAAGGATTGCTAAAGCCCAGGAGTTGGAAGCTGCAATGAGCTATGATTGTGCTACCAGCACCTATGGCCTGGACAACAAATGGGGACCCTATCTGAAAAACAAAACAAAATGAAACAAACCCAAAACCAAAAAACCCCACATGGAAACACCGTGTTTCCATTAACACAGTGCCTTGCAAAACAAGGACTGCCTGTACTTGAAATTCAGTTTAAATGCCTTAGCTACAGGAACAGCTCATGTTAAAAAGGCAAATATTTTACCTTGTCTTTATCAGTTTGTAAATACAGAGCTGAATACAAGTGCCAACATACTCTGATCGATTCTGGGACATGGTGTGTGGAGTGCAGCACCTTCGCTTTTCTACTGAGCAATAACTCGGGTTAAACAACAACAGAAAAATGGTGTTTCTGAGAGCAAGGCTTTATAGCCTGAAGCTATGAGATAATTCCTTCATAAGGGGGAAATTCTTAGGACAAATAAACATGTTTCAGTGGAATCTATAACGGGATGCCAAGCATGCAAACATATACATGTCCAGACACAGAAGCAGATACATGTTCCTACTGGGACCTGTTCCAGCTGCACCTGGAGGCTCAGCCTTGACTCTGACTTACTAGCTGGGAGGTCTCAGGTACATCCGTCAAGCAATTGCAGTCAAGTTGAATTCAATAATGATACTTAAATCAATGAGATTTAAATCAGCCCAGGTATGTGTATTGCTAAGAAAGCCCCCACTGTCTTTCAATGACTGTTTATACCTATGGCATCATAAAAATTATATATCTGGTTTTTGTCCCCACTTCATGACACAGAGCTCCTAAAACACTTGGAGTATCTGAGTCACTAACAAGCCATTTTCAACCTAATGAGGTGCCTTTAGTGGGCCCAGGATAGCTTTAGGAGACAGGGTCTGGACATCAGAAAGACCAAATATGTGATTAGCAGGTTGGATTCGAGCGTGATGGCTCACGCCTGTAATCTCAGCACTTCGGGAGGCTGAAGTAGGTGGATCACCTGACACCAGGAGTTTGAGATCAGCCTGGCCAACATGATAAGACCCTGTCTCTACTAAAAATACAAATATTAGCCAGGCGTGATGGCGCATGCCTTTAATCCCAGCTACTTGGTAGGGTAAGGCAGGAGAATCCGCTTGTACCCAAGAGATAGAGGTTGCAGTGAGCTGAGATTACACCACTGCACTCCAGCCTGGGCAATAGAACAAGACTCCATCTCAAAACAAACAAACAAAAAAGACTGGAACTTTCCGTCCTTCCCCTCATCTCCAGGGAGGGCACCATGGCTAAACTGAGTTCAATGAGCAATGGTCAGTGATGTCATCACTCACACCAACTTAAGAAACCTCCATAAAAATCTCTACATGAGGGGTCTGGGCAGCTTTGAGTTTGGTGAGCACATGGAGGTGCCGGGAGGTCAGGTGCCCAGAGAGGGCAGGGGAGCACTGCGCCCACCCACTGTACCTTGCCCAATGCCTTGCTTCCATTTGGCTGTGCCTGAGTTGTACCCTTCATAACAAAGCAGCCAGTGTATGAAAGTGTTTTCCTGAGCTCCATCAGTCATGTTAGGGAATTATCACACCTGAAGAGAGGATTGCAGGAACCCCCAAATTGTAGCCAATCGGAAGTACAGGTGGCCCCTGGAACATGGGATGGGCCTCTTGTGGAACTGGGGCCTTAACATCCAGGGTCTGGGCTAACCCTAGGAGTAAGTGTCAGAACTGAACTGAATTGCTATACGGCCCACTTAGCTTCAGGGAATCAGAGGTCTGTGCACTGTGGCACAGGTTCTGGCTGCCTCTATAGGTTCAAGATAGTAAGCTACACCCTGGGCAAAAAAAGAAAAGAAAAAAAAACCCAGGTGTTTCAAGACTATTCCAAGTAGCTCAGCTTTATTGGGAAGGAGGTTTCTGAGTAATTTCCCTGAGCTCATGAATGGTGTAACTGGTTAGCAATGAGAGGTGTGGTGTGAAAAAGACCTCTCACTGAAAGGCTTCTCCCAACCAAACCACTAAAGTCCTCACATGCAGGAACCCAGGGGAAAGAGGCATTTGCAGGGACTTACACTTACATCACAGGGGAGCCCCCCATTTCAAGGGTGCCTTGCTGTGATTCTAGAATCTGTATCTGCAGATCGTTCAGGCCAGGGACTCCATCTCAGCAGTCACAGGCCGGTCAGAGGAATCTGGAGCCAAGCCTAGCCACCACAAGCAGTCAGCTCTCTAAACGCTCTGCCCAGGTCACCTGAGGAGGAGTCTCATATAACAAGAAGAGGGCCATCTCCACTGCATACCCTGCATGGTCAGCCAGCCGTGGTGCAGGACAGGGCGCGCCATGGTATAGGAGCCCACCAGCTGCCACTTTCCGATGGAGAAATGGATGGAAGTCCAAAACCTTGGCGATAAAACCCCAACATCACTACATAAGCAAAAACTCTGCAGCAAGTGATGAGCACTCTATAAGCAGTTGGGGAGGGGAAATGAGTTTTAGTGACTGACATCTGAATTGCAGTGAATTCTCACCTCAAAGGCTGTAACTTGGAAATAAGACTGTTGTAAGCCCCACATCATTAAAACTTCTGCTTCCCTGGAAAATGTCTGAATAGGCCTTGTTCTGGCACTGTAAGCCTCTTAGACTATCCCTGAGACCCAGTGGATTCTGGCTGAGTCTCACTGGCCTGGTGACTTAGGTGTGGCTGTGACTTCTCACAAAATCTTCCAGCCAGGTCATCTCCCTGCCCACATACCCAAGTTCCAGGGAGCATTGCAAAGTGGCCTTCAACAGCACATACCACAACATTTAACAAACATGATGTGGATATGATTTGGTGGGACATGGTTGTGGAACATGGCCCATCTCACCAGCACCTGCTTACCTTCTCCATAGGAGGAGGGGGAGAGAACCTCTTGGCACAAGCTAGAAAGATGTCAGGGTCTGGCTTGCCATGCTGCACTTCAGGGTCGCTCCCAGCACGATGTGAGAAAACAAGCTGAAGAACTCCTTGTGCTGGCTTGTCTTCATCTCGAACGATGCAGACCCTGAGCTGGTGGCCAGGGCAAAGGGGATGCCGTGTTTCCACAGGTGGATGATGAGTTTCTCGGCCCCTAGGGAGGAGGAGGGAAGCACTGCGGTGAGGGGTGAGGTCTCCACCACAAGGCCTTCTTCCAGGGACGGTCCCTCCAGCTGTGTGGCAGCACACTCTCAGGCTTCGCCTTCTGAGGAATTTCTGACCTAGGACAGGTTGTCTAAAAAGGGCTGTCAGCTCCAAAACATCCCTGCTCAACATAAAACAAACCAAAAAATCAAAAAAGCTATTGGGGGCTGAGCGATGGCATTTCCCAAAGGAACAGAAGAGGAGCACTCTGGGAGGCATTGCCGTTTTGTCTGCTGGGCCTCTTGATGAAATGTAGACAAGGGCAGGGGGCAGGCCTGGACATGATTGGACCTGGGATCTGGGCAGGCCACCAAGGAGGGCGCCACACAGCAGGGCATCGCTCAACCATACTTTTTTCCCAAAGCAGTCAATACACAAGGGCTATGCTTTTGGTGTTTTCTGCAAAAATGCTGTATTCTGCAGAAAACATTTAATCATTCTTCACCCTGCTTAGGTGGGGAAATCACACAACGGCCCCCACCAGATGCTGAAGAAGGCTGCAGCTGGCTGAGGGATGGCTGCGGTGCTACTTAACAAGGGATCAGGGGACAAAAGAAAGCTGCTGAACACAGCTGATCGACAGCAACATGCCATATGAAAAGAGCATCCTCAGGCTGTCCTTAGCCATATGGATTAACCACAGGGACCACATGGGTTCAGGGAGGTCGTCACAGAGCCAATTACGAGAGGAGTAGTTATCAGAAAGGGTAAAAAATACCAGGAGTCCTTACCACCTTTAACTTATGCTAACTAGCACAACAGGAACATCTAAATCCACACAAGGTATGACAGTTTATCTAAAATTGTATTTTATTTTTGAGACAGGGTCTCTCTCTGTAGTCCAGGCTGGAGTGCAATGGCTGATCTCGGCTCACTGCAACCTCTGCCTCCCAGTTTCAAGCGATTCTCCTGCCTCAGCCTCCTGAGTAGTTGGGACTACAGGCACGCGCCACCACGCCCAGCTAATTTTTGTATTTTCAGTATAGATGAGGTTTCACCATGTTGGCCAGGCTGGTCTCAAACTTAGCCTCAGGTGATCTGCCCACCTCAGCCTCTCAAAGTGCTAGGATTACAGGCATGAGTCACCGTGCCTGGCCTAAAATTGTATTTTAAATAATCGTGTAATCATGCCTATTTTAATAATATTATGAAGTAATATCCCTACTTTGTCAATTGTTACACAGAAGAATCAACATAGTCATTTTTTCCAAATGCCTAAAGTCATTCACGGTATGGTAACAGATAGATATCTGGAGCACCTGACCCCCTAGTGATTTTTAAAAGGAAGGCAAGGACAGATTGTAATGTGGTGCTAGGGCAAAGTTAAATAAAGCAAATGAAATCAAGCAAAATATAGCATTCCATTGGGTGTAGAATTTATAGTGTTTAACATTCAATCAAAAATTACCATGCCGCAAAGAAGCAAATATCACTCAAAACCAGGAGGGAAAAAAAATGTTGTCTATAGAAACCTACTTTAAATATAACTACACAGATAGATTGAAAAATAAAAGGATAGAAAACTACATACCACATGACTATTGCTCAAAAGAGAGCCAGGTTACTTACATTGATAACAAATGGGCCTTTAGAACAATGAATATCATCAGGGATAAACAGGAACATTTCATAATGACAAATAGGTCAGTTCATCAATAAGACATAATTCTAAATGTGTAAACATCAAATAGCAGAGCTTCACAATGTATAAAGCAAAAACTAACAGAACTGAATGGAGAAACACAAACGTAGAAGGAAGTTTAAAACTCCTCTATCAGCAATTGACAGAACAAGTAGACAGAAAAGAAGTAAGGATATAGCAGACTTTAGAACCACTGCCAAGCAACCTGACAAAATTGACGTTTATGTAATACTTCTCTCAACAACAGCAGAAACCACATTATTTTTAAGTGCACATGGAACATTCAACAAGAAAGATCCTATTATAAACAATAAAACAATCTCAAAAATTATAAAATACTTAAAATCATACAGAATACCTTCTCTAACAATGATAGAATTAAAATAGACATTAATAATAGAAAGGAATGTGGAAAATCACAAATATTTGGATGTTACAATTCTATGTAAGACACAGGTCAAAGATGAAATCACAAAGGGAAACTAGGTAATATTTTTTAGAGAACCAAAAACTATCAAAATTTCTGGGATGTGGCTAAAACATTTTTTAGAGGAAAACTGATGGCATTAGGTGATATGTTAAATAATAAGGTCTCAAATAAGTGATCTAAGTTGTCACATTTAAAACCTGAAAGAAAAAAGTTCAATGATTTAGGACATCAAGGAAAAGAGAAAATTAAGCGCAAAACAAATAAAAGGAAGGAGATAATAAAAATGAGAGAGAAAATTAATGAAATAAAAAGGAGAATACAGAAAACTAAATCAAAAGCCAGTTCTTTGAGGAGAGCAATTAAATTAGTAGACTCCTAGCTAAACTGATCAAAACAATCAAGAAGATCCAAATGTACCAACCTTAGAAGGGAAAGAGGGGCCAACACTACGGATCCCAACATCAATAAAATGATAAAAACTTTATTATTATAGGCGTAAATGACAACACACTTGACCACTTAGATGAAATCACATAATTCTTTGAAAAATAGAAAACTTACTCAAGAAGACGTGAATAAGCGGAATAGCTTTCTGTCAATGAAAGAAAGTGAATTTTTAATTAAAAACCTTCCCACATCTTGGATTAGATGGCCTCACTGGTAAATTTACTAACTTCCCAAGAAAAAAAAGAATGCCAATTCTAAACAAACTTATCAGGAAATAGGAGGAAACACCTCTCAACTCATTTGACATCAGCAGTCCCTTATCCCAAAACCAGACAAAAGCCAGACAAGAAAACTACAGATCTCATGAACACATACACACCTCCACACATGAAAACAATATTCAACCGGTGTAGAAGTATTCCACATGAAGAGCTTCTGCAGAACTTCAATCCATTAGTTAAAAATATTAAAATGTCACACTATTTCATTAGTTTGCAACAACCACTAATTATTATCACAGAAGACTACATTTATTAATTAGCTAAATTTCAATTTAAACCTTAACCTAACTGGTGCATGACATAAAAGAAAGGCTCTAATTTATTTTAAAAGATCCAATCATGCGTGGTAGTGCATCCTATAAGCCCAGTTACTTGGGAGGTTGAGGCAGGAGAATCGCTTGAACCCACAAAGTGGAGAGTGCAGTGAGCTGACATGGCGCCAATGCACTCCAGCCTGGGTGACAGAGCCAGACTCTATCTCAAAAACAACAACAAAACAATTAGCCAATCATGAACCTTTGTCTGGATATATATAGTGATTAAAGTTGAGAATTAAAACAATCTGAATTTGAAACAAGATTTTCAAATTACTGTATCATACAATTTTAAACCAATATTTAAAAAAATAACAGAGCAGATTTAAACATATGGCTCTCTGTAAAACACACTGTATAAAGAAAATATTGTTAAAGTACTTTGGTGCTATTAATTTAAAAAACTTAAATATAGATTATTTTATGATTATTATTGTTTTAAGACAGGGTCTTGCTCTGTGATCCAGGCTAGAGTAGAGTCGAGCAATGCAGCCTCAACCTCCTGGGCTCAAATGATCCTCCAGTCTCAGCCTCCTGAATAGCTGGGACTACAGTTGCATGCCACCATGCCTGGTAAGTTTTTTCGTTTTGTAGAGACAGGGTCTCCCTATGTTGCCTAAGCTGGTCTTGAATTTCTGCTTCAAGCAATCCCCTTGCCTTGGCCTTTCAAAGCCCTGGGCTTACAGGGGTGAATTTATCCTTGTAGCATCTCTATTGCTGTGAATTATTTCTAAGGTACCGGCTGTAACAGTGTAGTAGTACATAAACAAATGCACATCAATGTGTTTGGTGTGGAATGCAGCTCAATATTCTTACCGATGGAGAATGAATCAAAAATGTTTCTGGATGACTGTTTTACACCACCACAGCATATCAAGATCTTCAAAATGCTTGGGACTCGTATGAAGATGAAACTCTAGACAAGACTATGACCACAGTTAGAGACTACAGGACATCTGTCAATTATACGTTCTCTTTGGGCCTCAATTTTGTCATCTGTCAAAGAGCAATGATTAACGTTACTCATGGAGTTGATTCACAAGAAGCACAATGCCTGGAAAATGATATGGGTGATGAAGCCCCAGATAAATGTTAGCCAGTGTCATCAGATAAAGCTCCAGTGTATAGTCAGGAACCAAGGATCCTAATCTCTTGATTCACAGCTGCCTGATGCCTTCACAAAGTTTTGCATCTTTTAAAGATTGCACACAACACTTTTCTTACACAGTGGCTTTCCCTGAGAAGTAAAAGACTAAAAAAAGTAAATGGAGCTCTGTCCCAGGGAGAAGTTGGTTAATTATGTGTATAAATGGACTCTAGCTCCCAGCTCCTAGCATTTGGTGTGCTTCTGTGGGTTTACAGGAAGGGCAGAGAGATAGATAGCTCTTGCTCCAAATAATGAGCTCACAGGACACATCTTCAGGGGAAGAACTGGGGAATGTGCAGGAGCAACACTGTGGGTGGGAGGAAACGCTCCTGCTTTCCTCCGTCCTAGAGACCCAAGGTGGGTGAGAACAGGAATGTGCAATTAAAGAGGATGAAACAAAGGAAAGAGGCAGAAGACAGGCAGCTGACATACGGTCTCAGGTGTTCTTGGCATTCTTTTGTTGGGCGATCTGGCCTTCAGAACCCTACGAGCCTAGACATTCTCTGTACTACCTGAGACCTGCAGTGAGCAACAGAAGCAAGTGGGGTGCACCGGGGGTTGACCATGCAAAGAAGGAGAGGGAACCACTTAGAGTGCCATGCATGTCATTAATTCTGTGTGCTGAGAACCATGTCCTGGGCCTCAGTCAAGAAGAGCTTTATGAAGTGAGACATAGAAGGCAGCCTGTG